TTGTGTTGTAGCTGCTCTCAGATGTACTTTGGATAAAAGCTAAATGAAATAGTCAAATATCTTTGGGTTGCAAACACAAGGAGACGTCTGAGGACATCACTGTGGTCATTTTCAGCCTTTTTTTTAACAAACTAACTTACAGATTAGTAATTTATTAATATATCAGTACTACATGGGACGTTGTTAAAACATCTCCTCGTCTAAACTGGACAGTTATAACAAATAATATCGGAGGACTTGGTGTGCACACAGAGCCGAGAAAACAAAAAGGCGTTTTGTTTTTTTCAAACACAAATAATGTCTTGAATAGTTTGTAATAACGAAACTAAAAGCATCATGTCAGTCCTGGAGAACCTGAATGTTGAGCTGAAGCTTGTATTTTATATTATTGTCCACATTCAGCTGGAATGCTTCCAGCCTTTAGAGGTGCTGGTGTTTGTCGTGGCCGCCCTGCTGCTCCCATCACCTGAACAAACCTCCCACTGAGTTCCAGCCCTGATGCTGCAGACGTGAGGAATCCCAGATAATTACATGATTATCTTTGATTCCCCTCCTCTCTGTCTCGCCCCTCGCTCACCTCTCACAGCGTCCGTGGTCACTAAGGCGGGGCCGAGAGGACAGAAGCTGTCGAACGTCTTTCCGAGCAGCCACTGCCTCCCGTTGCGCTTCATCTGCCAGTCGCGAGCGCTGACGTCATTGGCCACGGTGAACCCGGCCACGTGGGAGAGGGCGTCTTCCTCCTGAACAGCAGGGGGTGGAAACGGGAGTCACAAATGACCGGAGCATCAGAGCAGAGGCGACGCCGGGACGCTCACCTTGATGTGTTTTCCTCTTCGTCCGATCACAAAGGCCAGCTCCACCTCCCAGTCCACCTCCTGCAGCCACACAGAGGACACACACAAACAGCATCATCACTTATTTAATATGGAGGGTTGGAAAAATAGCAAAAAAAAACCTTTAAACTTTTTGCAATGCACAACATAAATGAAGATTCTGGTGCAATATCTCCATCAAGGTCCTGAAAAAGAAGAACTGGACACACAGCAGCAAACATTACAGACTTCATTAGAAGCTGTCAGAACGCTGACCTGCTGGTCCAGACATGCAAACACTTGTTTATTTAACTTGGTACATTTGAAACCCCAGAAATCTGTTTTTATGACCGTCGTTGGTGCTGTCGGCAGTTTCAAGGTGGAAATGTTCAGTCATGGTCTGATCTGTGATCTGTCCTGCAGCGTATAACGACACCACATGGACGCGTTAACGAGGCAAACAGCTGTCTTTAATCGGTGCTTCACATTGATTATTTATTATCATCGGCGCTACAGTTTGGCCTCGGTCAGCCTGAGAACCAGCTCCTCCAGACCGAACGGTGCAGATTTGTGCCTGAGCGGACGCGGTCGAGGCCGAACCGGCTCACTGCAGCCGGCCGTGGTGGGCTACATAATTCATCATCCTGCTCTCTGAGGGTCGGAGCAAAGGTCAAAGAAAAACAATTACACCGTGACCTTTCTGGAGCTCCGTTCAAAGCACATCTTCAGCAATTTTTCGTTTCCTTTTTGTCCTCTAACAGCGTATTGACTCGCAACACTGGATTTTCTTTTCGTCCTTCTGTAAAAAAGTTCAATTTGTCAGAGCTTCAAACACGACATCAAACTCCTCGTGTGTGAAATCCTACGTGGCAATAAAACTGATTTAAATTCTGAAATCTTTGGTTCATTCATCCATCATCTATACTAGGGTCGCGGGGGGCTGGAGTCTATCCCAGCTGACTCAGGGTGAAGGCAGGTTCACCTGGACAGGTAACCAGTCTATCACAGGGCTACACTTAGAGACAGACAACCAAGCACACTCACATTCACACCTACGGACAATTTAGAATCACCAATTAACCTCAACATGTTTCTGGACTGTGGGAGGAAGCCGGAGAACCCGGAGAGAACCCACGCTGTACGGGGAGAACATGGAGACTCCACGCAGAAAGATCCCGGGTGTCCTCACTGGGATGTGAACCAGCGACCTTCTAGGTGCGAGGCAACAATGTTAACCAGTGAGCCACCTTGCAGCCCAATGATTCAGCAAAAGTCCTCGTGGCTTTAATCATCAGCCTCAGGTCGTCTCCTCTGTCTCGACTGAACCACTTTGCTGCTTTTACACTAACTTCAGCTGCTCTTCTTTGGCTCTTTGTTACTAAAAGGACTGATTTAAAAATCTTATCTCAAAGAAACCAAATCAGAACCAACAATGGTCTTACTTTTGTAAATTTCCCAGATAAGGGAGAAATAATCTTCTCTTATCTTAAAACTTCATCATTTGGGTGAAACTATTGTTTCTCTCTTATCTCCATCCTTTTTTTTTTTTTCTTCCTGTGTCGCCTCTATTTTATAAACATAAATGACGTTTGCCTGCCGGTTCTGACCTGGCTCTCTGTGGGCAGAACGATGTCGTCGTACGGCCCCGTGATGGCGCTCGGGAACTTGCTGAAGATGATGGGTTCTTTGGGGATGGGGGCGTTCTGCTCCAGGCAGTGGTCCTTGTAGTTCATCCCCACACACACCACCTTCTCCGGGGCCGAGACGGGAGGCAGCAGCTGGATGTCGGCTCGATCCACCAAACACTGATCAGACGCCAAAGCTCTGAGGAGGAGGAGGAGGGATGGTTAAAGAGATGAAGAATCTGAAAGAACAAACGCTGACAGAGGAGGATGAAAGTTTCAGGAGCACAGAGAGGATGTCAGAAGATTTAAGTAGGAGATGATTTATCAAAAACAGGAAGTTGCTGATTAAGGATGTTGATGGAGGAGCAGGAATGAGTGAAGGAGATGGTGATTAATGAAGACAAGAATATGCTGCTGATTTGCCAATAATTCAAGACATCCGAATCATTTAGAGGAAGATGGAGGTTTGTAATGTACGATGATTAAGCTCATTGATTTACTGAGATCATGGTTACTGTGAGGATGATTTATGAAGAAGATGATGAGGAGGATGAGGAGGAGGAAGGTGATTCAAGAAGACGACTGAGAAATGATGACAGATGAGGGTCAGTGGAGGACGACAGAGCTTCAGGGACGGATGTGAACTGAGGAGATAATAAATCAGAATGTGTTTTCTACCTGTGTGCGCTCTCCAGACCCGCCTCTCCCAGCTCCAGCAGCTCTCTCATGGTCGAGGGCATGGACGGGTCGAACGCCTTCAGGTCCACCACGCCCAGCCCGTCGCCTCGCTCCACTCCCACCCTGACGACGCCTCCTCCGTCACCGTGACGACGAAACTGCACCAGACGCATCCCTGCACCGCTCAAGTTTCGTCTCTGTACGTCTGCTGTCAGCCTTCGATGGATCAAAGTCCTGAAGATGCAAAAGGATCGAAGAGGGAGTCTCATCTGGGGAAGACGTGAGGAGACAGAAATCAAACAGTTAGATTTAGGTTACACCCGATCCTCTACATGTCAAGAAACACCACCTAAGATCACATCTACTGGTCCTTTAATGTAGTTTTTCAATAAACTATTAATTGTCAGCTGTCATAAAATAGAAGGAAGTCCTTGTGACAGTTCAGATGACTTATTTTGTCAAACTAAAAGTCCAAAAGTCGCTCTGCTGTCATTGATTAAACCCCTAAAAACTCACCTCTGTGTATCAGAGTTACATATTTGTACGTTTTTCTTATAATGGATCACATATAATGAATCTGAGGGAATCAGAAGCTGCTGCCTCTCCACACAGCTCTGCTCAAACACTGTAAAACTACTGCAAGCTGCCCAAAAAAAAGCTGTGTTATTCTAGTAAATCAGCCACACAAACATGTTTAAACCGGAAACTGATTCAGAAAGCAAGTTGGCAGGTTGGTTCCTGTGGTTTGTCTCAGATGAAACACTGAAAGTCCAAATCAGTCCACAGCAGCTTCAAGGTGGAGACACTCAGCCGTGGTGTTCACTGATTATTTCACTCATAATGCATCATCCAGCATATAAAAAAAACCCATACTGACTCGTTAACAAAGTAAAAATCTTATTTTCAGCGAAAAGGTTCTGTAAAAGAGGCTTTCCAGACATGTTTAGAACTTAAAAATAGAACATTTTCCGTCTCTTATTGGTTTTTCCACGTTGTTCAGCTTCATCCAAAACTCCAGAATCCATCAAAATGCAAATATGTTCGATGTCCCTTTCCATCCTTGATTTAACACCTAAAAACCCATTTCTGTGCATCAAAGTTACATATTTAGAGGTTCAATCCATGAAAAAAATAACTTCTAGCCTTAAAACGGCTCAGATGGGATGTTGTAGAGATCTATTTACGGATCTAAGCCGATTCATTCAGCCATACATGCTCAAAACAAAACAAAACTACTCAAGCTGACTGAATCGATTCTGTAGGTTTGTTACACATTAAACCCTGGAAGTTTGAATCTGTGTGTTTGAGACGGTCAAAGGTGGAAATGTTTCACAAGGTACTTAAAAAATAAACTTGATTTTCATCAGAGGGGATCCTTGAGATTATATGAAATAGAGCAAAGAAGTTTGACTTAATATTTAATATGCTGGCAGCAGAAAAGAGAAGAAATTTCCCCTCAACAGTTTGGCAATCAGAAGTTCAGTGCAGTTATGTGCTACTGATTTATGATTTCAGTCGGATCCTGCTGAGCAATCACCTGTAAGCACATGTCTTTGAATAAACTGATCTCACTTTGTACAACTGTTGGTGAAAACGTGCAAACACTGCAGACAAAGTGGGGAAACACTCCTGACATAAGAACAAAGCCACCTGTTTGTTTTATGACTTTAGTAAAACTCTCATGTGAGCTGAACCCAAACCGGTTCGTTGACAAACGGCTGTGAGACGCAACAAATGCAGATTATAGAAGCATAAATCCTCATTACGACCTTCTGCTCTCACATGACGACTGAGCTGCAGATCACTATCGAGGTGAGAAGCGCGTGGACTCTACCTGCAGCTGGAGCTTATCTCTGATCAAACACCATTTCTACAAGACTGTGAAATGCAACTGCTGCTGCTGTCCGCCCTTTGCACTCTGGCCACTCAGTACTCACCTCTGCTTCTGCACAGAAAAACGCTACTTCACACTACTTCCGGGTTGCGTTTGTAGTCCATTAAAGTGAGCCTCAGAATCGGTACTTAAGGGGAAAGTTAAGGGAAGCTCAACTTGCAGAACCAAATGAGCATTTCTGGGGGAGTTTAAACACATTTTATTGATGTTGAACCGTTTTAGATCATAAACTCTCACCTGAAACCCAATTTTACATTCGTGAAACGTTTATTTTAATTATGAAAATGTATAAATTAAAGATTTCACTGACTTTCTGTTGTATGCTGATCATGTTACACCAGATCTAAAAACATTCTGCACCGTGTTTGATGTGTGAAATCTCTATTCTGCCGAAAAGGGAGATTTAACAGCTTTTTTTATGATCTGTTTGTTGCATGAAGAACAAATGAGACCAAAGCTGTGTCCTAAATCACACACGTTTTCTTTTTACTTAAAGCTCATTCTGCAGCTGCACTCACAAGTGGGCGTACAATCGTGATATATTACCTAAACATAAAATATATGTACTTTTATTTCCCCTTCCTTTTTATATGTTTTATTTTTAAATTTATTTTATTTTATTTTATTTTTTAAAATCTGGACTTGGTCTAATGTGATCTGCATATAAAAACAAAAACAGGAAATTCCAGCTTGTTTTTTTTCATTATTATTTGTTTGTTTATTTTTCACAAATAGCGTAAAGCTTAAGTTTCCCTTAAATTTTCCCTTAACTTCTGAATTACAAGCTAACTTCAGCGTCAGTGAGGTCAATGCTGTCAAAAGCAAAATAAATAAATATTCAATCGACGTTGGAGTGTTGTCACGGTTAGTAGATGTTTTACAAAATATGGCACAAATCAATTGCTAAACCCGTGACATAATCCTCTGATGCTTCGTTTCTTCTTTGTTGAATCCGTGCTGAAAAACTACAACTCCCAACCGTGTCGCTAAAGGCGCCTTTCCAGTGCGGTGGGAACTTCCGCTTACATGAACAAATTAGCGTAAATACGTTAGAGAATTTCACGTTTTCACATCAAAATCTCAAGCGCATGATTTTAAGACTTCATAATCCACTGAGAGCAGCTGCTTAGAGTCTCTACCAGCTTTGCTATAGTGCCTAAGCAGCATTTTACTTTGGGGATTGTCGTAATTCCGAGCTACGTGCGGCCGTGAAGGCGGCACGAGTGTCACTTACGGGGTCATGTGACCGAGCGGAGTGCGCTTCACGGAAGAAACGGTTGTTACCGGCGCTCGGCTGCCTCTTTCACCCCGAAGACACCGGAGAAGGAGGACAAAATGTGCACCAGGTGGGATTAACGACCGCTTCTGTCTAAACGGCCGGTTTTAGTGTCGCTGGAACGTTTTTTTCTGACGTGCATTTATTTCCGTTTCTGCATTAATTAACAGCGACGAGGCTCCTGAAGGTTTTATTGTCTGATGAGCTGCAGCTTTTCTAATGTCCACTTCAGATGAGTTCAGATCAGAGGAGCTCGTTCAGCCAGACACTGAGTGTGTTTATTGGAGCTACAATTACTGAACGCCCAGTGTTTTAAATCGTTTGAATAATTTAATTTAAACCAGGTTTCTTTACTCCTCTGTGACAGTTAACTGAATATTTCGGGTTCCTGACAGAACAAAACATTTCTCATGTCTGGATTTGTGAAACACTGATTCACATTTTTTACCATTTTCTGATATTTTATAGCACAAACAACTAATGCATTAATTGACAATAAAAACTGTAATGACTTGTGGTTTAAAATGGAAAAATCTGATCTTGCCACGAATCACATCTGGATCCAGTTTCCATAAAAAGCTTCTACGCTGTTTTTTTTTTCTTTGTCATTTGATGCCTGAAGCGTCTGACTAAAAACAATCTGTCTGCTGCGACAAAATAATCAATTAATTCATTATTTGTGAGCCATTAAATTAATCTGCAACTGTTTTTATAAATCAAGTGATGTCTTTGAATCAGTTTTTAAGGATAAATGTCTACATTTTCTGATCGTGGCTTCTTAAAAGCAAATGTTTTCATTTCTTCTGTGAGTAAACTGAATATATTTGGCCTGTGGATGTCGTCACCGTGGGTTTTTAAACACACCGATCAATATTTTTCACCATTTCCTTGTGCAAACATTTAATTGGGTTATCGAGAAAACAATAATCAGCAATGGAGAGTAATTAAATGCTCAGTTATAGGTCAGAGTAACAGAATCTGATCCTCTCATTTTGTCCAAATCTGGATTGTGTTCCCACTTAAAGCACAAAGTGTTTCTTGCTGAGATTTCACTTTCAGTCTTACCCTACTTCCTTTCCAGTGTCATATGACGCCCGAAGCGTCTGACTTGTCTGAACAAATCTGTCTGTGCCGCACTGTGACATGATTGTTCCTCTAAACTGCACACAAGGTGCAAAGTCTCGAGACAAGAAATAATCTCCTCATGCTGAGGTTTCTCACCAAAGTGCAGACAAGGAAGAAATGTGCCTGTTGCACTCCGACAGCTGCAGATCTCAAAGGTCTCAGAGACGTTTACTCACCGTCTTATCGTTAACCTGCCTGATTGCATCACTCCGTCTATCTTGGCTCAGCCTTGTGTTTCCAAAATGCTGACGCTGCGGTTTGTCTTTCCGTCCAGCGTCCAGCCCATCGAGTGGACCACCGACCTCAAGAACCAGAAGTGAGTGTCAGGAGAAATGCTGCACTTCCCCTCTAGCTGTCAGACGGTTGTTGTTACATGATGGTGTTGTTTGTTTTCTAGCTTCGATGGCATCGTCCTGGTGACCCAGAGCTACGACACTCTGCCCGCCGAGCTCGAGAGTCTGAAGGCTCCTCTGCAGGACTACAGCTCTGTAGGTTTCCTCTGCCACTGAACTCACCTGACCTTCATTTGTGTCTATGCACTCGCTCACAACCCCAATACTAACGAGGAAAAAGTATATATTTAAGGATTAATTCTGATTTTATAGAGAGCTTTCTTTGCATTTGTGCTTCGTCTCAGTAAAAACCTGAAGCCAAATGACTACATTATGGTAAAAATAAAGTTATTACCGCTCAGTAGAGGTTTGTTTTTAGTTTTAATGTGCTTAGAAGAGCTTCTATATCTCTATGGTATGAGTAGTAACCAGAAGTGAATCCTGCCAGATTGAATCAGATGAGGTCAGGAGGTTTTCCACATATTCATGAAGGAAAAGATCATTTTGAGGAGTCTTGATGAGGTTGACAGGGTTGAAACAGCAGGAATAAAAGCTATTATGCTGCACAAGGTTGTTTATGTTTCAGAAATTGTTCTCTTTTATTAAGTTTTTTTCTTGAATTCCTGGAAAATTCACCTGCAGTGGCCTTAAACTGTACATCCAGCGTTGACCGATCCCACATTGAGTCAATTAAAGGAGTCGAGACCACAAATGTTGTGAGCAGCTGAGATAAAGGACCTGAAATCATCGTAAACAAATACATGATGATGCGATAGTGGGTTTTTTATTCTGTTCAGGGCTTTTTAAAAGGTGGTGTCATGTGCTCTGATTGGCTGTGTGGTGTGTCTCTGCCTGCAGGTGGACAGCGGTCTGGGGGAGGAGGTGGTGGTCCTCAAGGTCCCTGGTCTCCCTGGTAACCGGCTGGTGTTTGCCTCCACCGGCCCCGTAAACCGCGACTACGATGACGTCCGGCGCTTCAGTGACGCCGCCGTCAACGGCATCAAGCGGTCAGTTAACTGCAGCTGATTTTTCCCTCTTAGTGACTCATGTTGCTGCTGCACGTCCACGTTTCACTTTCAACACCTGTTTGTCTCTTCAGGGCCCTGAAAGCCGGCATGCAGCGCCCCCTGCTGGTGTGTCCTCCACACAAGGACTACAAGAACAGCACCTTGGTGGCTGCACTCGGGGCCCTTCATGCTCTCTACATGGTGAGAAAAACCACAATACAGTCGTGACTCGATAATTCGACACTACATGTAAAACCTTCTTTCATGTCGGATTGTCAAGACGGAGGTCGAGACACAAGGAAGGCTTGATGCTTGAAGGGTCACTTCCACGCCGGGGCAGCGCTCCAACGGGGTGGAAGTGTCCAGAACACACAGGCAGTACTTGGCTGCTGATGCTAGTTTAGTTAGCGCTCACACTTCTGTTTCCACCATCGGTGGCGGTGGGGGAGTGGCAGATACGCTCCACCGTTACCATCCATGTTTACTTCCATAATGTACTTTCCAAATGTAAAAAATATGTTTGCAAAAAAAAAAACACTCACTTGCTGTCTTCTCTTCTTCCAGCCTCTTGAGGTGCGAGAGGGGAACGTGAAACCCTCTGACTACAAGGTGTGTGTTCTGGGGCTGTGGGCAGCGCAGGAGGCTCAGGCGAAGAAGATGGTGGAGCTCGCCAACGCTCTGGAGAGCGGCAGGTGAGTCGGACGCTTGTCCTCGTCCTCTGCTAAGACTTCCCGGGTTGTGTTTGTTCACTCACTCATCTCCCGTCCTCAGGCTGGCGTATCGTGACATCGGAGGCTCCGACCCTGAACGTATGGCTGCTCCTCGTGTGGCTGAATACGTCCAGGAGCTCTTCAGGAACAGCCCCGTGACGGTAATGAGGAGCCTTATGTAGAAACAGTTCTGCAGGTGTTTGGTGGTTCTTTAAACTCCTGTTTTCTGGTCCCAAACATAAAAACTAATCTTTGTTTTTTCACATGCAGGTGGAAGTTGTGAGCGACCTGAAGACTCTGGAGAAGGAATATCCCTGTCTGGCTGCCGTCAACCGCTGTGCCAACAGTAGGACAACAGATTATTATCAGAATCAGAGTCCTTTTAATGTCATTATACCAAAAAAAGAACAACGAATGTGGGTGCAATCCCATTCAGTGCAAAGAACAACTATAAATTAGCAAACTGTGCAAGACAAAAACAAGACAAACAAGACATTTGTAGAGCCTATAGGTGTATATAACAAAATAAATAAGTGACAGCAGGTATAAAATGGATATAAAAATGTATTACAATAGCAGCGAGCAACAGAGGTACCTGAGGAAATGCTTGTGGTAGATTACACCTGAGTACATGTGACATATTGCAAACTGAGAGAATTTTTGTCACTTATTACATATTGTAGGACTGCTAGCTATTGTTTTTTTTTTTGTTTTTTTTTTAAAGAAGCATGTATATCCATTCGTCTGCTCTGCTTTCAGGCGTCCCTCGTCACCAGGGCCGAGTCGTCAGGCTGCAGTACTGTGGAGAGGGACCGATCCAGAAGACGCTCATGTTGGTGGGAAAGGTGAGACTCACAGACGTCCGTCTTTGAAGCAGTAAAACCTTAAAGGAAGGCTTAACCCCTGAGTATATGTGCTCTCTCACATTTACTTTTAAATCTGAGTGTATTTCAGAGAAACAAATGCCATCAAACAGCATGTAGAGGCACAACTCAAACATCCACGGTTCACTTCGTGGCTGGAAGTCACACCTCTCCCTCTCTGTCTGCTTTCATTCTGACAGTCTAGAGCGAGACAGAAAACAAAGAAAACTATCTCTAAAATATAACATTAAATGCTCATTCTGTGTCACAAAGCTGTAGCTGCTAATCAGACTGAAATGGAGAATCACTGTCACCCCTGAGATCAATGTTTGACTTTGGACTACAGCTGAATTATGCTGCATGAGATCCAACTATTGTCAGACTCACTGTCTGTCTTTTCCATCTTTATCTCACTGATTTCTTTTGAGCGTAGAGATCACGCAGTAATATCCTCATTCATGCTGAGTGTCTGGTTCTGAGGTCCTGATTGATGTCATGTGTTATTGCCAGACTCCTCAGATGACCTCTTTTTTTAAAACGACATACAGAAGAAGGTTAGGTGGTAACAGAAGGTGTGAGGGATCTAGTTTTACCATCACAGAGGAGCTGTGGGATTCTATCCTTGGCCTTCATCAATGTGTGCTCGACACGCACTCATTCAGTTTAAGGTTGTCCATCGTGTGCACTTGTCAAAGGTTAAGTTGGCACACATGTATCCAGATGTTGACCCAACTTGTGGAAGAGCACCTGGTACTTTGCTTCACATGTATTGGCTCTGTCCATCATTCCTAAACGTGATTCAATTTTTTATACAAGTTCTGAAGTCCTACAGCATCAAATTAAACCAGATCCACTATGTGCTGGTGGCCTTAGACCATAACTTGCCAAACTCTAAGTTGAAAGTCTTGAAATTTTCATTTTTATTTACCAAACGAGCTGTTTTGCACAAGTGGAGCGACTCTTCAGTTAAAAGATGTAAAGTCCTGCATGGATTTGGAAAAATCAATTTGAGCTTCAGAAAACAATATCTATAAATCGTGGTGTCCTTTTCTGGATTTCTTTGAAAGACCCTCAACTGCTAGCATCAAATCCTCATATTTGAGCCAATATTTGACGTTTCTTTTGCTTCTCTGCAACAGTTTTCTGTCAAGCAACTAATTAGTCACTTGCTAATTCCT